AGAGGTGGCTTCTCGTCTAGGCTCTCATTTCCTCCCATGGTGACTCTGGGCATATTATTTAAATTCTCTGAGACCTTATGTCATCATCTCTGGCACGTTCATGGTGGTACGACTGTAGACCTCCTTCATCTCCAAGTCACTGAGACCCCATCTGTGTCCTCATCTCCAAAATAATAGGATCAAAGCCAGCACTGAGACTTTGGCTTGTTTTGAGATTAAGATAATGCATTTGAAATTCCTTTGAAAATCTTAAACTATTCTATTAGCCAGAGAGAGGTATTATTATTATTCCCCTCAGTAATATGAAGCATGTAATGGGTTCAACTGTGGCACCGATGATACCTCAAGGTATTAATTATGGTGATTCTTCTCCTTTGTTTCTCCCCTAGCACCTTCCTTACAGGACCTGTCTTAATGAAAACTGATGGGCGGGGGCAGCCTTAATGAAGAATTTAATGATGGCTGATTGATTTAGTGACAAAGGGAAATTGCTTGCTGTGTGCTGCTCAATATGATGCCAAGATGTCTTTTTTTCCCTATCAGACCAAAAGAAAGGTTTGGAAAACAGGAAGGACATGACCTGTTTGTGATTTATGTTGCTCTAAGTACTGATTGTAAGCTGTGGTGGAGGGTGAGATACTTTGAACCTCAGGATTGAAGCACAGGGCAGGTAGCCACCCAGAACCTCTCAAAAAGCTTCCCTGCTCTTGACTGTACAAGTAGTAAACAGGAGAAGTGGGTGTCAAACTTTTTTGTACCCAATTTTTATGCATAGTATACTCCACTCTTTCTTTCAAGAACAATGTTCTACATAGGCTGGTGTCCCACTTTTAAAATCCCTTAATTAGTGTTTTTATTTCTTTTTTCTACATGCTACTTCTCATCCTCTCCAAGCTGATTTCAGATTCAGGCTCTACTTAATGCTATTTTGGGAAGCACAGTCAGGAGTTAAGAGCTGCATACATGTGCTAGTTTGTCGTCTATGACTTTGTTCCAGCGTACAAGAGAAGAGTAGCATTGGTGGAACGCCTGTGAATTGGGGTGTAAACCCAAAGCAGAAACATGTGGATCACTTATTGTACTGACACTTCACAAATTGTAAAAATAAAAATAATTTCAAAGAGTAGAACTATGGTAGGGTTTCTGAAGAGATGAAATTCATAAAATGCTCCATTTCTTTGGAAGATATTTTATGGAATTTAGCAAGATCTCTTTTAATAACGTTCTGCATAGGAAGAGCTTGCTGAGCTGCTGATGGGAGTAATGTGACACGTTTGACAGCAAAGGACTTGAGGGTTTTGACCTGCCCTTTGAGTACTGTAAGCTAGGATGTTTTTATGTTTTGTTCCTTAAATTTGTACATTCATATGATTTATACAAATGTCATTTAACTCTTTTTGAGTAAGATAATTAAATTTTAAAACTTAGCCAGATTTATGCTTGAAAACATTGCAAACCTACTTTCTTTTCATGGATGATCCTGGAATTTACCTTATTTTAGATACTTCAGAATAATTATATATATATATATATATATATATATATATATATATATAATTTTCTCTCGACTTGGACAGTTTTATAGAACCGTATGTAAAGTGTGTTAGCTAAAACAAATTGCTTCTTGTTTTGAGGCCTTACTAGTCTCATGCTTTATTTTTTCTATGTATAATGCATCATCCTTCCAAAATTTGTTTCAGATTCAAGTTTTACTTAATGCTACTTTGATATTAATGATATTTGGTATTTTTGTAAGAAGCACAAGAATGATCACAATGAGGGAACAGTTTTAAGTTGGACTGTTCTAATTTTTAACTTTCTTGATCATGATGTTATTATAGACTTCAGGAATTAGAATAAATATTTTTTTAGAGGTGGGTCTACATTTAACCAGAAATGTAGCTTTCTTGCTCCAACTTCCCAGTTTGTGTAGGTTAGTAGGCTTTTGCTTGCGACACTGTAATTGGCTATTAAATTTAAAAAGGAGATAGGCAGGGCCCAGTGTGACTCTGTTGATTGGGTGTCATCCCACAATGTGAAGGGTCACCAGTTTCATTCCTGGGTTGTGGGCCAGATCCCCAGGTGGGGCGTGTATGAGAGGCAACCAATTGATGTTTCTCTCACACATCCATGTTTCTCTCCCTCACTTTCTCCTTCTCTGAAACTAAATACAATTCTTAAAAGAATAGAAGAAAATGGAGATAAGTTAGCCACAAAGTGAAAAATAAAGGTACTTAGCCATACATACTTCACAGGCTTAAAGACAAATAATGTGATAGAGTTCTACAGTAAGTTTTATTATCTTATATATTTAGAAAGTATTTTAGGATACCATATCCTTATTACTATAGATAGTCTGTGTAGCATCCAAAGTTTTAAAAAGAGCCTGTTGAACTTTTCCTTTTACAATAGTAATAAATTATCTAAAGATCATCAAGTTTTAAAGTAGAATGTAAAAACAGATATTCTTCAGTTCTGAGCATACTTTACCAAGTATATCCAGGTTCGTACAACTAATGAGGGATGGGGAAGAAATTTATCTTGAAATTTTCTGACATCATGCTCTACATTTGGTGAATGCTTGGATCCAAGAAATATCTTACTCTGTATTACTGTATTAATTTTGCAGATAAGGAAATGAAGTCCAGAGAAAGTGAAAAGTCACCTGAACTTTTATTGTTAATTATTTACTTCTTACCACACTACTATGTTTTCTATGTTTGCCTCCAAATGTTTTTAGAAGTAAAAATAGAATGACTCCCACATATGCACTCACTGTCTCTTACTATGAGTGAGCTTTTAGTAGTGGAAGTCAACCTTCACTTCCACTAAATACCAGTGGTTTCCACTTCTCGTCTCCCACCTTCCCCATCCCACCTCTTCCTGAGGTCAAGATTTTTTTTCTGTAGCTTTCATCATTTTTAATTATATTTTATTGATTATGCTATTACAGTTGTCCCAATTTCCATCCCCCAGGCCCCTGTCCACCTGGCTACCCACACTCCCTCAGGCAATCCCCACACCATTATTCATGCTCATGGGTCATGTATATAACTTCTTTGGCTACTCTATTTCCTATACTGTACTTTACATCACCATGACTATTCTGTAACTACCTAGTTGTACTTCTTAATCCATTCACCTCTTCACCCATTACCCTATACCCATTATCCCATTGGCAACCATCAAAATGATTCTGTCTCTATTCTTGTTTGTTTTTTTAGATTTGACTATTGATGGATTTGTATTTATTGACATTTTATTATTTATAGTTTTGATCTTCATTATTTAAATAAGTCCCTTTAACATTTCATATAATCTAGGCTGGCTGCTATTAGTGCTAGGCCTGTGACCCACTGAGGCCAGCTATTGCTAGTTCGATAGGATTTAGGAAGTTGTGAACCGTGAGCCAAGACCAGCCATTCACGTGGAAAAGCAGCTTGGGTGGGCCTGTAAGTTGGTTGGGGCAGAGTCTCTGGGGATCTCCAAAGCAGCTGAATAGAGTTAGCTAGGTTGATGGAGTCTCAGATGTAGCACCAGCTTGCCACCTCAGTCTGGATGGCTGTGGTTTTCTTAATTCCACAGTCGTCAGACTTCCATTCAACTCAATTTCTGATGATTCCAAGTGAAAGTTGTTCTATATTTTAGTTGTGATTTTGATGTGGTTGTGCAAAGAGGTCAGACAAGTCTACCTATGCTGCCATCTTGACCGAAAGTCTCTTCTGTAGATTTTATTGAACATTTCCACTTGCAATGTTGAGAAGAAAAAAAACTTGAGAAGCAACTAAAAAACTGAAATGGTTAAAATATTCCACAATTGTGCCAATTCATCTTTTAAAGAGGAATGCTGACATTCTTGTCTTAAAATAATTATCACATTTTTTTCTCTCAGCTCTGGCTGCATTACCTCCTTTACTTTCTTGAATTTGAAATCTGTATGCTTTTGATTCTGAAATTTTCAGTCTTGAGCTCTCTCTTGAGTTTAGTATATACTTTTTCAGATACCTAATTGCTATACCTAACCAGGTGAACTACATGTTTTCAAATACAACAGGTTCTATTCCAAAGTCTTTATTTTCAGTCATCTCAACTGTGTCTTCTTTTTAAATTGTATTATTTATTCAGGCTTTGAAGCTAGAGTCTGTGTGTCATCCTTTACTCTTCCCTCAATTTTAGTCCCCACATCTAATTAAGTGTCAAGTTTTCCCAAGTCTACTTTTGAAATACTTGTCAGATTTTACTTACTGTCTTCATCCTTATCTCCATGCCTTTGTCAAGGTAGTGCTATAATCTACTAGTGTCTTTATATTCTAGTCTAGTCCATTTTACTGGAGCAACATAAAGAACATTTATTGAATTTTTATAATGTGCTAGGCACAGTGTTAAGGTGTTAGTCAGAAAAAGATAGAGCCTCAACCCTTGTTCAGAAGGCCTGCATTGTGATAGACAGGTACACTTCCCCTTTTGTACTCATTGATCTTCCTTTCTTTCTGTGTATATACCTTTTCTTCCTTCTTTTCTTTTGTCTTCATGATACAAACTCAATACAAGTAACTAAAATCTATTGGCACTTTTACTCATTTATTGATTAGTGTCCCCAAATCTCATTCTGAAAATTTTCAAATATGTTGATATGAAATGTCCATTACTTAGAGTGTTTCTGAGCTATTTAAAAGTACATGCCTAATTTTGAGATAAGTTACAGTGAGATCAGAAAATGATTTTAAGAAAAGCCTAGAGGTAGAGTACACGGTTGTGAAATATGAAGAAAACTAGTGTTTTCCAAAGCATTTTAGCTTGTTTCGGTAGAATACAAGTTAAATTCTATTATGTCCCAAGTGCTGCAAATCAAGTTCCTTTTAAAAGAATATTTTAAAATAAAATTATCTCCTTAAAATTCTTTAGCTATTTTCAGAGGAGTTTTTAGTGTGCGAAATTTTTTCTATAGTTTATAAAGTAGTGGTTGTCAGATTTAATGAGATCTTTTCTCTTGTTGATAGGTACACACTGGTGGATATTTTGCGTGCCATCTTGCTGTCTTTAGAAGCCATGATTGAAGATCCCGAGCTTCAAGTGAATGGATTCGTTTTGATCATAGACTGGAGTAACTTCACCTTCAAGCAAGCCTCTAAACTGACACCCAGCATGCTGAGATTGGCTATCGAAGGCCTTCAGGTAAAGATTTGCAAAGTACCCACTTTCTTGGTCTCCCACTTTTGACTCATCTAATATGTTAGAATAACAAAATGTCTTACTTGAGGAATAAAAATAATTTTTTATACAGTTTTTAAGCACAAACATTAAAACACTAACTGGCAAAGGGTTTTAGAAGAAAAACTGAGGACGTGGGCCTGTTAATGAATGAGAATTTGTACTAATCACTATGCCTACGCATAAATGTGGGTGATGATGACCTGAGATTTTTATCGTGAGAATCAGAATAAGCAACATCTTTTGGATTTTAATGGTTAACTATTTAAGCTTGCTTTTGTTTCTTTCTCCTTTTCTGTGTATATTAGTTAAGTGTTAAGGGTTTGCTTCATTGTTTCATTTAATCTGGTGAATTTAGGATGTGACGGGCAATATCTTCATGTTGCCTAAAAAACTGTTGGAAAGTCAATCAGAATCATTTTGATCTCTGAGCTACAGAATCACTGTTTTCGATTACTTTTCTAGACTTCATTGGGGTTTTTGTTCTTTTTTATTTTGGTAGAAGGGCTATCACATAGAATTTATACAGGAATGGTCCATCTTCCAGTGAATGACATTTAACTGATTGGGAATTATAAAATGGAAAATCAACCATTATTTAGTGGCATGGCATATTTAGTTAATGGCTGATTACTCCCTAAAAATGAGCTACTTCTTCAGGTGGCAGGACAGCATAACTAAACTGAACTCACAGTTCGAGTTTTGCTTCTGTAGTGAGTAAGATACTGTGATCCCTTTTCTCTGCATAGGCTTTTTCTGATGCATGTTTCCTGACTTGCGTTTGGTGAGTCACCTTTGCTCCTGTCTTATCTTGAACGGGACTTTTTTTTAACTCCATAGATAGAATTAATAAGGTTGGGAGAGGGACAGAATAATGCATATTTTAGAATGCACCCTATCACCAGAAGTCTATAAAGTGTTTGTTCTTTTCTAAAGAAAATCAGTTGCCACCAACCATGTTATTTTTAAGCAGGGTATAACCTAGCTTTTTAGAATTGCTATTACTATTTAACTTGTGACTTCTCTTTGTGCTAGAGGTAGACTAGACCTTTAGCTGCATGAAGGACTGGAGAACTCATTTTGAAGAAACTCAAAAGCCACCTCAAGGATAGACTCAATGCCTTCCTATATGCCAACTTATACACTGTATGGAGATAGTTAGTAGTAAGGTCTGAGTAAGCTGGATCCATGCCTCCTGGTTGCCTGGTTGCCTCCAGGAAGCCACTTAAAATAAGTGAACTCTTCCAACCAATAAATTTGACATGTTATTAACCTTTAAACTCAATGTTATCTTCAGGTCAAACTAGTTTTTTTAAATGCTGTATATCTATGTCTCTATTTGTCTGTGTCTCTATACTATATTTAGAAACAATGGTAATTCTGAATAGGATTATAAAATGTGCTAAAAATGTTCCATTGTAACATGCATCATTTCATATTTAGCCTTATATAGAAGTTACACTTTCTGACTTTTAAAATCAAGTCTCTGTTAATTATTCACCTACCAGGTGACAAATATTATTGTGCATTGATATATGTTTCATGCAGAGCATGAGTAAACTTATTTTTGAGATTGGCATCAGACCATAAAACATTTTTATTAAATATACATATTCAATTTTTTGTCACTAAACACAACTAATATCATCATCAAAATGACCAACACTATCACAACAATAGATAACTTCCAATTAGTCTAGTTAGGGAAATTAAGATGTGATATTATTTACTTTCACATTTTTACATGAGAATATTTTAAATAACAGAGTGACAGTTTATATCATGTCGTAATTCTGCTATAATATGTTATTTTTAATGAGGTAAGTGTAAGAAATATTCCAGTAAGTTGAACCCAAAATAAGAAAGGCTACAAATGGGTCTAGTGCCAGAAAGGAAACTTACTTTAATGATATGTATTACTAATGGGATATAACCATGTTTTGAGGAAACCCCATCTCTATTTCTTTTGAATTTGCTGCATAACCTCTCTATCTTTACATACTAACCCACTTTTTCCTCAAGCAAAAGGGTATTTTGAGTGATCGGCAAGGGATAGCATCTAGTACCGTGGTTAAAGACATGTAGACCATTGCTAGAAGATCCACCTGTGATCACTGCACAAGCTCCATAGAGAGACAATGTGGAAGGGTGCAAATAAAAATTGGTTGTAGAGACAGACCCAGATTTGGAAGACAATTCTTCCATGTAGCAAATACTAGGTCAAATTCCTGAAAGTTTTTGAATCTCAGTCTGTTCATCTATATCAAATTTAAGGTATTTTATTAGAAGTGATACATCTTATTATATTTTGCTTGGCTTATATTAGAGAACAAACTGACAGTGTCCAGAGGAGAGGAGAGAGGGGGATAATGAAGGAAAATAGGGGAAGGTCTGTCAGGGAACATGTATAAAGATTACATGGACAAAGTCAAAAGGTGTAGGTTCCAGGGTGGGATACAGGGATGGGTGTGGGGGGTCATGTGGAGTGAAAATGGAGACATCTGTATTTGAACAACAATTAAAATAAATAAAGAAAGAGAGGAAGAAGAAAGAAGAGAAAAATGATACATCTTGCACCTAGCAGGTGATGTCAATGATGGAAGTCGTTGATCTGCATGACCTGTTTTTTTCAGGTGCCCAATTTTCTGCACATGTGATAGTTTTCTCACAATTCCAGTGACCACTTAAACAGTGAAGACTTAACGTTGATTGACATTGGGAATCTGAATGATCTCATATTTTGCATTTAGTGCTTAGATTGTAGATGCACAGATTGACTTTTTACAAATCACTTCACTGTGTGGTTAAATAGTGTCTAGATATGTTCATGTTAGGTGCCAAATAAAATATTTTTCCGTGATGGAAGCCAAGCAAAAATGAGATCGTTTCATCTAGTGAAAAATAATCTTTGTTTCTTTTAGGAGAATCTCCAGGCAGGCACAGTTGGGAAGGTGGTAATGTGGAGATATCCTTGACCTTGAGTGTTGAGCAAGAGTTTGCTAAGTTGACAAGGACAGAAAAAGTCCTTCAGGCAGGGAAACTTTGGGGAAATGCTTTTGAAGAAACCTACAGCCACAAGGGGGTGGAAGGACATGATAAATCTGTTTTCATATGGTTAAAGTGAGAAATGAGTTGAAGGTAATGACCAGCAATGATATGGGAAGTGCAGGCTGAACCTTGTCTCCATGGAAGGGATGTCCAAGCCACAGGCCATGGGTTGCATGTACCCCAGGATGTCTATGAATGTGGCCCAACACAAAACCATAAGTTTACTTAAAACCTTTTTTTTGCTCATTAGTTTTCAATAGTATTTTTTTGTTTAATGTGAGCCAAGATAACTTCTTTTTCCAATGTGGCTCAGGGATGCTGAGACCCCTGGATCAAATGGCACACTCTGCATTTAGGCCTGTGTTTTCAGACATGGGGGTGATTTTGAACAAGAAAGTGACCTGGTCACTACTTTACCTCAGGAAGAACTCTTGGGTAGAAGAATGGACTTGCATCAAAGGAGGGAGGGTTTAGATCTAGTGAATCCCAAACTATCCCATAGATGATTTTGTTGACTCCATTTTGTAAGACAGGAAATGAAACTTCAGGGAATTTGACACTCAAATTTTCTCAAAAAACTTCAAGGTTTGAGTCCAGGTTGGCCAAATCCACAGACCAGTGGCTCCCCTCAATCGTGTTTTTTTTCTATTGTTTTCAGGCCTGTGCTTACAAAAAAGTGGCCAAGGTCAGTTTAGACTAATGTGCCTCCCCCATGCCAAATTCTCACATGTTAATACAGGTGAAATTTGTTTATTGGGATAAAAAAGGCAATGCTAACTTGCCATGGCACTTTTTTTTTGACAGCAAGTGGTAGAACCATTTCTTTCCCCTTGAGTGATTGCCACCTTCCCAGTTCCCTATGAGTGAGGCCAAGGGAAAAGCATTTCATCTGATAGCCAAAAAGAACTTAAAACAACATAACCCAAAATTTGTAAGCCACTCATAATATTGGTTTAAGGAGATTCTGTATGCTTTCTCTGTGCAGAATATTCAAACATTTTTTAAAACAAAAAGCATCACACATTTTTACCAACAAAATGTGGTTCTTTGATAGATAAGAGGCAACATCAGATATTTTGTGAAAATAAAGTACTCAAGCTTCATTGGAAAGAAAAGAGAAAGAGAAAATTGTCTTGCTACTTACAAGAAGTTAATTGATTAGGGTAGTTATAGTAACAGGAAGCCTCTTAGAAAATCAATACAAGATTAAGTGGAAGTGACTTGTAGACTCTAATATATCTGCCTGGGAAACCAATTAAAGAATGAAATGTTTGGAAATACCTGGAAAAACTTAAACTTTTTGAATTTACAGAGAAGTGAGTGATATGCTTTTAACATTTTTTGGTCACAATTGCTCTATTTTTATTTTTTCTTATAAAATATTATCACTCTTAAAATTTTTTGATAATGAAAAACAAAACTCTCTTATGAATCCAGAAACTTTTATTTGCCAATTTTTTCTTTCTATTTATTTATTTATTTATTTATTATTTTTTTTTTATTAAATTTTATTTAGTTACTTTTCAGGTACATTTTTTTTTATCTATTTCTCCCATCCCACCCCACCCCCCTGCCCGGTCTCCCCCGTCCCTCCCATTCCCCCCCCCCCCCAGTCCTCATCCCTGTGTCTTTCATACTTGTTCCTCAAAATCCCTCCCCCTTTTTCCCCCTTAAGTTCCCTTCCCTCTCCCCTCTGGTCGCTGCCCACTTGTTCTCTATTTCAGTGTCTTTGTTTTTATTCTGTTTGCTTGTTTGTTTTATTCTTTAGCTTCCTGTCAAAGGTGAGATCATATGGTATTTGTCCTTCAATGCCTGGCCTATTTCACTCAGCATAATGCTTTCCAGTTCCATCCATGTTGTGGCAAAAGGTGGTAGCTCCTTCTTTCTCTCTGCTGCATAGAATTCCATTGTGTATATGTACCACAATTTTTTGATCCATTCGTTTACTGATGGGCACCTAGGTTGCTTCCAACTCTTGGCTATTGTAAATTGTGCTGCTATGAACATTGTGGTGCATAGGTTCTTTGAAATTGATGTTTTAGGATTCTTGGGGTATAATCCTAGCAGTGGAATTGCTGGGTCAAAAGGCAGGTCCATTTTTATTTTTCTGAGAAAATTCCATACTGTTTTCCATAATGGTTGTACCAGTCTGCAATCCCACCAACAGTGAACTAAGGTCCCCTTTTCCCCACACCCTCTCCAACATTTGTTGTTTGTTGCTTTGTCTATTATAGCCATCCTGACTGGTGTAAAGTGGTATCTCATTGTGGTTTTAATTTGCATCTCTCTGATAGCTAACGATATTGAGCATCTCTTCATGTGTCTCTGGATATTCTGTATGTCCTCTTTAGAGAAGTGTCTGTTCAAGTCCTTTTCCCATTTTTTAATTGGGTTCGATGTCTTCCTAGAGTGGAGTCGTGTAAGTTCTTTGTATATTTTGGAGATTAAACCTTTGTCTGAGGTATCATTGGCATTTATTTGCCAATTTTTAAAAACACTATCCAAGCCCTGCGTGTATGGTTTGTCATCCTTCGGATATATTTATCTGTTATTTTCCCCTTAGCTCTGTCCTGCCTTGTCTGTGCTTTGTTTCCACAATTTCACAGGAATCCCCAAACTCTATCTGCTGAAAAGGACATAATGTAGTGAAGATGTGGGTCTGTTGGCAAGGGGTTCAGCTGTAATAGAGAATTGAATAGCTCTTTGAATTGCTACAGTAAGACTCAGATGTGGAGGGTGGGGCATCACACAGTGCCAGACTCGGTGCCAGATTTGTAAGAGCCCTTCGTAAAACTAGGGCTTGTGAGAGAATAAAGAATATGTAATTGATTCTCAGGACTTAATAGGGCCCTTTCTTTTGACTCAAGGGTTCCGTGTTATAAGCAGCCACCAATCTGCTAGATCTGGTAGTGCTGGTCATTCATGTGGAAGGCAGAAAGTGCTGCTGCTACAAATTCTGGCTCTGACTGTTTGGAAGCTCAGTCCTATCTAGGGGATCCTGCCAAACCCAGAGAACATGCTAATGACTTGGAACATCGCTGTCCAGGACTAGTGGGCGAAGAGCTCCATTAACTTCTATTCAGTCCTCCAAGTCCTACCCACAATTTCTGAATCTCTGGCAGCTTTGAAACTGAACTGTGTGTGTGTGGGATGGTCAAGGGAGAATATTAAAGAGCAACTCCCTCAAATATTGAGTAAATTAGGGATTCATAATAAAACAAAAGGATCCTGTGCTTTGCAACAGTGTCCTTTGCAATGGTTTTAACCTGTCAATAGTTTTCCGACTAATAATGCTCTGGAAAATACATAGTAGGAACTTTTGCATATAAGCTACCTTGTAAACTTAAGGCAGAATTATGGTGCATTGATGGGAGGAGGGGTGAAACAATGCTTGTCTTTTTTGAAATAAACATAGGGACTCATGAACTTGTGTTCATTCAGACAGCCTGGAGGTGGGATCATTTATTTGCACATTTTATATGCACAGGCAGGACCATATTGAGAAACAGTGATAAGGGCAGTGTGTAAAAAAAGTGACATTTTGTTCATCACATGCATGACTGTCTGAGCTAAGTGTGCTTCCTTTCAGTTGTTACTTAACCTAAAACAAAATGAGTGAAAACTCGAGCTTTGCTGTATTTCATAGTGCGAGACTGTGGTAGTTTCACTGAGAGATTTAGTGCCCAGAAATAGGACATTGGAAGTCTTTTGAAAAGCTGACAATGGGCATAGAAAAACTATATATATTATTCAGTTCAATGAGCAGGCTAAACATTTTATATGACCTTTGATAACAGGCTATACATAGATATACACACAACATAGATACATGAACTTATACACATATATACATATACTATTTTTCTTGCATTAAAATCACTATTTATTTTCTTTGATTAACAGCTAAATTTGTTTAAAATGATTAGTTATAGAAAGTAGGTGTCGACTTGGAAAAAAATGAAGAGTTGAGTGCTTTAGAGGTATTTAATTATTTAACAGATACTTACTCAATTAGAGAGTATCAGAAATTAATGATAAAATTTAATATTGCTACACTTTCATCCACCGAAAAAGAGACTAGTTAGCATTTTGCTTCAAGTAACCAAAAAATTGAAGCAACAAAATGGAAATAAGTGAATATGAATAACAATCTTTTTGGTTTGAGTCATTGAGATAATGATAAATAGATAAAAAGTAATTATCTATAATGAAAAAGTAAATGAATAACATGAGCTAATGTGCAATTTATTTTATTGGCTATGTTTAGACATGCCCTTAACTGGAGAACAAAAAAGATGAATAACTACAATTTTTCTCTTATTCTTCTTAGTAACAATGCAAATATGTCTTGATATATCATTCTCCCCTAGCAGAACATCATTTTTCAGTGTCTTCAATTTAAAACTGATAAATATCAACATCCATTATACTTTAAAAATTAGTTTAAATAAAATGGAATACAATTTAATCTTAAAAAAGGAAATCCTGCCATCTGCAACAACATAGAGGAACCTGGAAGACATTATGCTAAGTAAAGTAAGCCAGGCACAGAAAGACAAACATTGTATTGCCTCACATATGTGGAATCAAAGAAGTCAAACTAATAGCAACAGGGAGTACAACGGTGAGGGGATGAGATGCTGGTCAAAAGTAAAACTTTCAGTTATCAGATGAATAAGATGAGTGTAGTTACTAATTGTATACTTGATATTTGCTAAGAGAGATTGCAAATGTTTGTACAGATACATGGGAAAAGTAATGGTAAGAGGTGATAAATATGTTATTCTTAATAGTGGTGGTCATGTTACAATATGCATGTACACTAAAACATTATGCTATACTTTAAATATATATAATTTTCACTTGCCAATGGTACTCAATAAAGCTAGAAAAAAATTATTTTGAATCCCAGTATGATCAGATTTTCTTACAGATGTTGATAAATTTGGCACACTTATCTTTCACAATGTTTGGTCATTTCAGCTTCATAAATGTGATCTCATGAACATCTAAATGAAAATTTCTTGAAATCTCAAATTAAGCTATTATTTTTGTGTTCTTAAAATTTAAAATTGCAGTACCATATTGCTAGAATCTTGGAGGTCAGTGAATGTTCTCTTCCATTCATGGAAAGGACTCTTATTGCTCTTGTTGTATTGTCTCAAATTTTATCTAAAGCTAGAATACTCTTTATTCTTTATTATAACTATTCTAAAGATATGTTTCAAATGGGTTTATTTCTTTATATCTGCAATTGGAGAAGCCACAATAAACTTGTAAGAGCAATGCCTCCTTGTATTTATCCTGGTGTGCTATGTAATGCATAATCAAGAATAGTGTGTTTCTATGGTTTAAGTCAGTTTTGAAAGGCCTCAATCAACTGGACTTTTAAGGTAGTTGTTATATAAGGTAATGATAACTGCTGTAACAAACCAAAATGTGCACTACTGATGAAAATGCAGATTGGTGCACCTACTATGAAAAACAGTCTGAAGTTTCCTCAAAATATTAAAAATAGAACTGCCTTATGACCCAGTGATTCCACTTCTGGATATATATCCAAAGGAATCCAAAACACTAATGTAAAAGAACATTCATTGCAGTATTTTTTGTCAGTATTATGTTTTTTAATCTAAATCCCCAGAGACATTATTTTTGGAGTAAAATATACAAATAATTTCCTTCCAGAAATCAAAATTCTGAGGGATATACTCATAACTCTTTATTTTAATCAGAGTTCAGCATGAATACTTTTATTACAACTGGTGGAGAATAAGCCATAAATTTTAAAGGTGAACCCACTGAAAAGATAATAATAATTTTTAAAACAGAGATTTCTGTAATCATGTGACTATTCCATTCATGTTAAAAACTAATACTTGAAGTTTCTATTTGTAAAATTCTAACATTGTTTCTATGGTAATGTAGATGCTTTGAATGACCCACTCAAGGGAGTTCACTTAGTCTAGCCTAATGAAGTCTGCATCCTTTGTACTGACAGCAACACCGGTGCTACATATTGAGGCCATATTTCCTGATCAGACCACGTCCATTCGAACAGTTGTGGCAAGAATGAGAATCCTGGCAGAATTTTCTTGGATGGCTCCAGTATATCTGCTGGTGATTCATTTTGCTCTTTTGTATGCAATGAGACCACAAGGGGCCATAATTAGTTGCAAATCAGTATGAGAAGACCTAACCTAAGTCTACAAATCTTAGAAACTAGGTGTAGTTGTCACCTGGTTTCAAAAGAAGACTTCAAAGAGATGCTTATGGTCAGCCCATTATCTTTCCTAATGTGGCTAAAGAAAGCACATTCTACTGCACTTGGGACAATAATGTGTTTCTACAACTGGTAGACAAACTACATTTAGTGGTGACTGAAGCCTGCTGTCTCAGCATGAGGTAGATGATCAGTGGTGTAGTGGGTTACTGCTATATGCTGATCTTAGAGCTATAATTTAGTCAGGGAAAGGAGAGTGAAAGCACTCTTATGTAAGTAATAAGAAGATGTTTTCTGGTTTTATAACTATTTACATCTGGAAAAGACCTTAACTCAAAGAGGAGCTAATGTAACTTCAGGGCTGCATAGAAACCTTGAAGGAGACTTAGGCTGACTTGAGCAGCACCATGGAAAGCTCCTAGGAATTCCATTGCTGTGGTTCTTTCCTCCTTTGCAGTTCCTGTTTTCTCTAGCCATTACTGTAGCCTCTAAAGTGAGCCCCTCTGCTTTTAAAAAAATTTTTTTATTTGATTTGATTTTATTGATTATGCCATTACGGTTGTTTTATTTCTCCCCCTTCATTCCCCTCCACCCTGCACCCCCCACCCCCACCATTCCCCCCCTTTAGTTTATGACCATGTGTCTCGAGTTCTTTAGATTCTGTATTTCCCCTACTATTCTTACCCTCCCCCCTATCTATTTTCTATCTACTGTCTATGCTACTTATTTTCTGTACCTTCTCCCCCCTTCTTCTTCTCCCACTCCCCTGTTGCTAACCCTCCATGAGATCTTCATTTCTATGGTTCACTCCTGATCTAGCCGTCCTCTTAATTTGCTTTTGTTTTAGGTGTGGTTGTTAATAACTGTGAGTTTGCTGTCCTTTCACTGTTCATCTTTTTTATCTTCTTTTTCTTAGGTAAGTCCCTTTAAGATTTCATATAATGAGGGCTTGGTGATGATGAACTCCTTGAATTTGATTTTATCTGAGAACTTTATCTGTCCTTCCATTCTAAATGAAAGTTTTGCTGGATAGAGTAATCTCGGTTGTAGGTCTTTGGATTTCATGACTTGGAATACCTCTTTCCAGCCCCTTCTTGCCTGTAAGGTCTCTTTTGAGAAATCAGCTGACAGTCTGATGGCAACTTCTTTGTAGGTGACTGTCCCCTTATCTCTCGCTGCTTCTAGGATTCTCTCTTTCATTTTAATCTTGGCTAATGTAATTATGATGTGCCTTGGTGTGTTCCTCCTTGGGTCCAACTTTTTTGGGACTCTCTGAGCTTCCTGGATTTCCTGGAAGTCTGTTTCCTTAGCCAGATTGGGGAAGTTCTCCATTATTATTTGTTCAAATAAGTTTTCCACTGGTGGCTGTTCCTTTCCCCCTTCTGATACCCCTATAATTCAGATGTTGGAGTGTTTAAAGATGTCCTTGAGGTTCCTAAGTCTCTCCTCATTTTTTTTGAATTCTTGTTTCTTCATATTTTCCTGTTTGGTCATTTTTTTCTTCCTTCTGGTTCAGTCCCTTGATCTGAGTCCCAGTTTCCTTTTCATCACTATTGGTTTCCTGTGCAATTCCCTTCATTTCAATTAGTTTAGCCTTCATATGTTCCTCTAATTTGTGACTAAAATCAACCAGTTCTGTGAGCATCCTGATCACCAGTGTTTTGAACTGTGCATCTGAAAGTTTTGCTTTTTCTTCGTCTCTTAGAGTTCTGGGCTCTGGGGCTTTGAGATCTTCTTGAGTCATTTTTGGTCAGTTAGCGCCTGTTAAGTATGAGGAGCGGAGCCTCAGGTGTTCACCAGGGTGGGGCCACCCAGGCCGCTGGGTTGTGACACTGTAAGTAGGGGTGGGTCCAGAGCAGGTAAATGGCAGCCCCCTCTCCTGCTTCCCACCGCTGGGGCCTGCTAGGTCCAGTCTCACTGCTTACTCCTTCGCCGGTCTATCTGCGCACGAATGTGTGACCAGTCAACCTGCTGCCTTGTGCCCTTGCTGGGTCCACCCGTCACTCACTGGGTTACTCACTGGGTCCGCCCATTGCAACCCCACACCTGGGATCTGTGCACCTGAATCCGTCAAACTGAGTTTTCGTGTGCAACCCTGCTCCTCCAGCTGCTGGCTTTGCCCCTCTTACCGGTCAGGCTGAAGAATTCATTGTTATTAGACTTCTGAAAAGTTCAATTTTCTGTGTTTTGGCTGTTTTCGTTGCTAATATTTTGTTGTCTCTAAACTTGGTTGTGTGAGAAGGCAAAATGTCTCCACCTATACCTCCATCTTGGTGGAAGTAGCCCCTCTGCTTTTCACAGTAGGTCTCAGTCCTCACAGAAGTCAAAGTTTCCTTCATATCTCTGAGTTTCATAGCTTGTGTGTTTAAATAAATGCTACATTTTTCATGTGGCCCAAGGTTCTCCTTTTAAGACTTTTCCCACCCCTCTATTATTAGCTCCTGTTTTGGAATTGTTTACTGGAAACTCATGTGTCAGCACCGGAATTAAAATTATTCTCTCCTTGCTGTTGGAAATGGTAGGAGCTCCTTTATGCTACGTGAGATAAGCCAGGCTGTGAAAGACAAATACCATGTGATCTCACCTAAACGTGAAACCTAATCAACAAAACAAACAAGCAAGCAAAGTATACTCATAGATACTGAAATTAAAAACAAAGTAACACTAACCAGAGGGGAGATGGGGGGGGCATAATGAGGGGAAAGGCAAGGGTCCTCAAGGAACATGTATAAAGGACACATGGACAAAGCCAAAGGTGGGTAGGATCAAGAGTGGGAGGTGGGGATAGCTAGGGTGGGGAGGAGTGGTGGGGGAAAAATGGAGACAATTGTACTCGAACAATAATAAAAAAGACAGAAAGAAGAAAATAATACAATAATTAATAAGTAATACAAGAATAAAAAATAAAACTATCATCTCTTTTTCCTTTCCTTCCATCTTAGAGACTTCTCAAAATGTTACTTAAAATCGAATTTTAAAAACATAAAACATTCTTAAGTTGGATATAAGGTAAACAAAATAAAATTGGTTTGTATTTTATCTTAAGACCACATAAAGAAGAATGAGATTATCTTATTTTGCCTGAGCAAACTGATGGGAAAGAAATGTTTTGATTACATATGTTCTTCCTAAAGAGTTGTTCAGAGAACAATTATAAAGGATATGGCTGAAAGCAAAATTGTCTTTCTTCTTGACAATGGCCAGGGCAACCCTTAGAATCAAGCATGCCTGGGCTTAAATCTTGCCTCTGCCACATCCAGATTTTAATTTTAGATAAACTACTTAATTAATCCCAGTCTTTGTTATTTCTAAAATATGGGATTGGCACTTTCACTTGGCATTATTATGAAGACTAAACAAGATAACATACATGAAAGAGATGGCCATGATACCGAGTCAGAGAAGCCACTTGGTTCAAGTCTGTCCTGCCGGTGTACCATGCCCTATGCTCAGGAAGAGAATCTAAGTAAACTTATAAAACAAGATTATTTCTTAGACCAAAACATTATTATTACACAATGTAATCCATCAGGCAAACTTGGCAGATCATACAAAACTGACCAACTGAAGTTATGTGAGCTGAAAGCCTTCTCCCACATTTTCTGTGAATTTTGAGAAACCACAGGCAATCATTACTTCAAAGTTTATAGTCCCTGCTTTTGTCCTTTCAGATTGTAAGCTAATGATTAAATGTGATTATAAAAAGTATTGGTGCTGTGGAATTCATTGGTTTATTCTTAGGATGTAAGACTCTCAGGGTTTTCACTCTTTGGAATATCACAAATGTTTTCCGTTGAAACCAGACTTGCACAGACATGATTCATACACATATCTCTCGTCACTGTTCTCAACTAGATAAAAAGCTCCACAATGGCAAGAACAATATTCACTGCAGCTAAGTAAGTCACCAGCTGGCTATCAAGGAGGATCATATCACTGGCTGTAGGTGGAAAATAGGCATATTGGAGAACTGCAGTTCTTAAAACTCTAACCTGTGGTGAAATAGGATGGGGTACTCTTGGGAGAGGATGCACTGGAGGGTGCAGTGTCTCAGGTACTTGAGAGAATCAGGGGAAGCAGGTCAAAAGAAAGTGGGAAAGAGAGGATGCATTAGAGAAAGTCAGTGAAAGGACTTCCTGTGCAATGGGGATGATAGGATTCAGAAACAATGGCTGGGTGATGGCACTTATTGTAGGAAGTATGTGGAGTATAATTATTATAATGATGTGGTGTTCTTGTGGGAAAGATGGATGGGGAAAATAAGTATTGTTTCAAACACTGAGGCAAAAGAAATGAAAAGGAATGAAGGCAGCTATCCCAGTGCTGTTAAACCACCATGCTTGCTTTTCTGACTTGAGCCAGTCTCAACCTCAGACTCCACAAACTGCAGGAGAAAAGAGATCCCCCAAAGAAGGACGTGCAACACCAAGTTGTTTCTGTGATGGATGATCTTTTCACTGTTAGGAGTAATGTTTGCAAATAATATGGGTAATGGTTATGTATAATGTTAACTGGAATATGTGTGATATAAAGAGTGTAAAATATCATATTTATGGTAGTAATGTTTAAAAAAAGAAGAAAAAGGCATTGGAACACAAACTTGTTTATATGAGAGAAGTTGGACTATGGTGAAATTTTCTTTTTTCAACTTTCTGCATTCTACGTATTTACCATTAGAAGCAGTACTTTTATCATTAAAATCTTGTATTTGAAACATTCACCTGGCTGGTGTGGCTCAGTGGATTGAGCGCTGGCCTGCGAATTATGGGGTTTGATTCTTGGTTGGGGGCACATGCCTGGGTTGTGGGTGGGGTCCCCAGTGGGGGTGCACAGGAGGCAGCCACACATTGATGTTTCTCTCTTTCTCCCTCCCTTCCCCTTTTCTAAGAGTAAATATATTAAATCTTAAAAA